CCGGAAGCTATGTAAAGCTTCTTAGGAAATAATTGACAAAAACTGTATGGAAAAAAATGAGGCACTTTCAATGACAGATGGAATTTTGCAGTAGACAGCAGGTCAGCAGTCCAGGCAGACAGCTCAATTTCCAATATTCTAATTTTAGTTTATTATTTAGGATAAGTTGAAAAATCTGTTCTTTAAGCTTTCTGTACCATAATTGGGTTCATATTTCAGTGCTGGATCATGCATTCATGCTTGGCTAGGAGTTGACAACTTCCATTGTTGGCTAACCCAGCTAGGAATTAGAAGAAATAATGCTACTATAGAACTATATATGCAATAGATAAATTCATACAGGAATACAGAATATTAGAGCTGCCATCTCATTGGCTTGGCACTCTGTGCTTCCTGTTGATAATGCTGAATTCCTTTTATTCTTTTGATAAAACTAATGAAAATGACCCTTGAGCTCAATTATTTCACTCAGTCATATGATAAGATGTAGTTCTATCATCTCTAACTCTACAATAGATTAACTTGATGAATGTCAATTGAGTATTTGAATTGTTTTGATTTTTAAAGGTGTTCATTACTTTTCTGACCTCACTGAACAAAATTCCTACATACACCACTGGCAGTCACCCCATACAAACTAGAGTGAGTAGGTATTGAGCTGAAACGGTGAAGAAAATGAGGGAAGAAGAAATCGACAGGCTGAGAGGGGTGGTGAGGGACTGCATGAGCTAGCACTTGTACTCGTCAGCAATCTTCTTTGCCGATAAAGTGGCGCCGATAACGTCAGACTCCACAGACATCTACCTGCAAGCGCAAGCTCTCTACCTCGGTGGACACTACCGTCGTGCATTCCACCTCCTGAATGCCTCCCAAATTGTTCTCCGTGATCTCCAGTTTCGTTATCTTGCTGCTAAGTGCCTGGTATGTGTGCTATTCCTCATTCAATTTTCTGGAATTCTCACCTTCTTTATTTTCATTCATTTGGAAGTGAACTTCATAGGTTTGTCTCTCTAAGAAAAAAAAAAAATGAGTAAACTCGTGTGCTACTCCTACATAGGGTTAAAGGACCAATATTTGGTAATATGATTCAATTTGGCAATTGCAAATTATTAGATACCCAAGTTGTTCATTCTAAACTGACTGTTTCATTTGGTAGCTTCTTTGTGTATATCCTCTATGTTCTATATATTGGCTACATTTGGTGAAGATGATTTAATCTCTTACTAGGATTTTAGTTTAAATAATCTACATTTTAAATGTTTAGCGTAGATTATTTTTTAAAATAAGTTGACTCATTCCCGAATTCTGCCAATACTTTAGCTTATTTAAGCCGTTTTCGCAAAGTAACATGACAAATACCATAATCTGTAATAAACTTTGCCACTATGGCAACATGACTGGATAAACTTCGATGAATTTGATTTTCTTGTGTTCCTAAGTTTCTATTTTCTTATAAAAGGGGCATTTCTGTGTATGTTACTTAGATAAGATTGAAGTTATTATGACTCATGATTCTAATTTCAGCATCTATTGCATTTTTGTAACTTCTTCTGTTTTACTTATGAATTTGTATCATTAGGGGGAATTGAAAGAGTGGGATCAATGTCAACTAGTTCTTGGTAATGCAAATGTGGATGAACATGGAAATGTTACTGAACTTGGGGATTGTAGTAGCATGTACCTGGACAAGGATGGTGAAGATCGTGAAATCAATGTATGTTAATTCCTTGGGAGGGGGAGGAGATTCACCTTGGTTTTCTTTCTGTGAATTGCAATTGTAATTGTAATTGTAATCTGTTCTGACGTATACCCTCTCCATTATCCAGTTCATTTAGTGTTTGTATTGTGGCAGATTTTGTCTGCAATATGCTTCTTGAGGGGCATGGTAAGTATAGTAATTTCCTAACACTATCTTGTTTGATATAGTATTTTATAACTGCTCTATTTTCAATATACTCATCTATATATGATTATGTGATTTCTTATCCTTTTCCTGTTGTACAACATGTGTTCACATACTATTGGGAGTAACTCATCTTTATATAAGTCATAACTGTTTCTATGACTTATGCAGGTACAAAGCTGATCCTTTGTGTTACGAGGTGTGCGGCTTGATTTGTTATTTGGTTATTAATTCTCCAAATTTTTATAGGTGCTTTTGGCCTGCAAAGCTGAGTACTATCATCAGTGTTGTGAATATCAAAAATGTTTTGAGCTAACATCCACGTAAGTTGGTACCTGATTCAAAGGAATACTATTAACATTTTACGTGCTTCTATAATTAATGTTACTTAGATAACATCTTCTCCCTTGTTCCATGATCACTATGTAACTCAGATTACTTGAGAAGGATCCCTTCCATCTTAAGAGTACCTTAGTGCATTTGGCAGCTGCCATGGAACTGGGGCACTCAAATGAGCTGTATGTCATGGCAAGCAATTTAGTCAAGGACTACCCTCAGCAGTGAGTATGCCTGAACACTGTTAATTTTTCAATTGAAGTTTGCTTTCTTAGTGAACAACTGAAAATATCATCTTTAACTTCTTTCCATATTGTATTCCCTGTACATTATTCTTGTCATTTTTGTATATATGGAATGTCATTACATCAATGCATGACACTGAATGTGTAAGAAGAATGTTCAGGACATTTTTTTTTTAGTAAACATATTAAACACATCTTTGCTACACATATATTCCATTTTTTAAAAATGAAGGAACCATTGCTGCTTGTTATCTATATTCTTGTTCTTGGACATCCTTTTAAAATCTTGTTAACTCGCCAATGTGTTCTTTGACCTAGGGCACTGTCATGGTTTGCAGTTGGTTGTTACTACTATTGTATAAAGAAGTATGAACAAGCACGCCGTTATTTTAGGTATCAATTTTACCTACCTAGATTTTTCTATTTACAATTTAATTTGGCACTGTCCTGCCACTGAGGATTGAAAGCAATGTGGTTGTTCAAAGAAATCTTATTCTTAATATTTAAAAGCTTTGGCACTTGTACTACATATAGGGTTATATTATATGTGTCTAATTTTATTGGCTATCGTTTTTTCTCTAAATAAATTTTATAATTTGTATTTACAGTAAGGCAACTAGTTTAGATGGAACATTTGCTCCAGCTTGGATAGGTTATGGTAATGCTTATGCAGCCCGAGAAGAGGGAGACCAAGCAATGTCTGCCTACCGTACTGCTGCTCGCTTATTTCCTGGGTAATTGCACAAATCAGGCAGTATATGGGGAATGCTAGATGAGTTAAAAGTATTATTATTATTTCAATGAGGCTAAATTGAAAGAAAATCAGCTAAGGTGGATGTTTGGACATGTAGACCTATGGATGCACCAGTTTAGCAATAATAATATGTTTAGATAGAATTTTTGCTTTCGGTGTTTGGAGGTTGAATCCTAATATTCTCTTATTCCAGATGCCATTTGCCCACTCTATACATTGGAATGGAGTACATGCGAACCCACAGCTTCAAACTTGCTGAGCAGGTAATTGACATTAATCTGTGAATTTTATAAACGTGGATCCAAACATGGTATATATGTTTCCTGCTTGAAACTCGTTTCCTCTTCTATGGTATAAGTAATTAAATCTTCCCTGCAGTTTTTTATACAGGCAAAGACAATATGCCCCTTGGATCCACTTGTATACAATGAACTCGGAGTGGTTGCTTATCATATGAACGAGTACGGACCTTAACCCTGTTCAAATATGTATTCCAGAAAATCCAGACATGTAATAGTATTTTATCTGCAACTTATAAAAAAGGTGTCTTGTTCAAATTGAAACATCTTTGTAACAGTTTGCATAGTTGTTAGTCATACTTAAGTGAGAATTATGCGCTAAATTTTTCCCCCATTTCACATATTTGGCTTTTGATTACTTTTCCCTTCACAAATGTCTTTCTATTGTTACCATAATACATTATTTTCTTTGTTTCACTGACACTTTCAGGTATAAAAAGGCTGTCCATTGGTTCGAGAAGACATTGGCTCACATCCCATCTAACCTGAGTGAGATGTGGGAACCAACAATCGTCAATCTTGCTCATGCATTGAGAAAATTAAAGTAACTTCTGTCGTCTACACTCCACATTATTCGAACGTGTTGTTATCTCGTGCTTCAGAGTAAATCACTCCCGTGTTGGTTCTTCGAAGCGTTAAGGTTCATGTTTGCCTGTCTGAATTCATATATTGCGTTAACATTTTCAAGCTCTTCTTATCTCACCCTACTTCAATTCTCTCTCCAGTAGGCATTCTTCAAAATATTTTTTTCTTTCTTTCTTTCTTTTCAGGAGGTACAACGAGGCAATTACATACTATGAAAAAGCTCTTGCATTGTCAACAAGAAGTTTAAGTACATATGCCGGACTTGCATACACTTATCACCTGCAGGTAACTTTTAAGTACTCCATGCTATGCACTGCAGCAGGACATAAATGAGGGATTTGAGGCAAATGAGAACTCTAGTCCTGAAATAACTGACCTTTTTAATTCCTATGATGAGGAGCAGGTGGATACTTATGAGGCCGAATCAGATATGTCCTATAATTCAGAGGATGATAGTGATCTGGAAGTCTGTTGCATTGGGGAGGATCTGTTAAACCAGCATCCCTCGGACTCTGATGGTAAATTTGCAGTTCCCTTGGGAGAAGATGGAAACCTTGCTTCATTGAAGGCTGCTTTTGAAGCTTTGGCTGGAAAAAAAAAGCCTCTGCATCTGGGTGTACGGGAAGAGAAGTTGTTCCTGTCACTGCCGAGGGTGAATCAAATGCCTCTAGTTCCCAATTGAGCAACAGCATGGTTGCTCCCCGTATTCATTGTGCTGGTCCTATGTGTGTTCTACTCCTCTATGCCATGCTTCCTGCATCTGCTCGGCTTTGTGTATTTGAAGAAGTCAAGGAAGGAGAGCGCCTTTTTGTTGCTACCAATGTGGCTGAGACCTCTTTGACAATTCCAGCCGTCCGGGTATAAAATATGTGGTTGAGACAGGTAGAGAAAAAGTAAAAAGGTACAAATCCTCCAATGGGATGGAAACATATGAAGTTCAATGGATAAGTAAGGCTTCAGCTGCCCAACGTGCAGGGAGAGCAGGAAGAACTGAACCTGGTCATTGCTATCGCCGTTATTCTTCAGCAGTCTTTAATGACATATTCTCTCCCTTCTCAGATGCTGAAATATTGTAAGTACCTGTGGATGGTGTTGTGCTCCTTATAAAATCCATGCATATCGGCAAGGTAAGTTTAGCATTGAACTTTTTTGTCACCTTAAATTTTTTTGCTTACAATTATGGCACCACTATATGCACAGGTTTCTGACCTTGTAAAAATAACCCGCATGGAGATAATTTTGTATTAGGTTTAGCAAATTTACCCAAACCTAATATCCTACGTTGCAAACACTTCCACATGGATTACTTGGTCCCCATGAGTGCCTCCCTTTTTCTATTTCTTTTCCTCCTTTCAAACAACGAATGGGTGGTACAACAAGGGTTAGTGTGCTTATTGTATTTCCTTGTGCTGTTGTGCATTAATAATGGACCCCGTCTCGTATCCATGTAATTTCAGGTTGCAAATTTCCCTTTCCCAACTCCTCCTGAGCCAACTGCCTTAGTTGAAGCAGAGCGATGCTTAAAAGTTCTTGAAGCACTTGATGTCAAAGGAAGGTTGACACCTCTTGGGAAGGTCATGGCACAGTTCCCAATGACTCCTCGCCACTCTCGTATGCTCCTTACAGTTATTCAGATGATGCAGAAAGTTAAAGATTATACGCAGGCAAATACAGTTTTGGCTTATGCAAGTGCAGCAGCTGCCGCTTTGAGCTTGTCAAATCCTTTTGTTATGGAGTTCGAACAAACGCAATCTGATCCAATTGGCTTGAAGCAGGAAGGTGAGAGAAGTGATGGGAAGAAAAATTAAGGAAAAAGAAGCTGATAAGTCTCCTGAGCAAAATTTTTAAACCCCGCTAGTGATGCTTTGACCATAGCTTGTGCTATGCAGTGTTTTGAACTGTCACAGAATCCGGCAGTATTCTGCAGTGAAAATGTATTACACCTGAAGACCATGGAAGAAATGTCTAAGCTGCGGAAGCAGCTTCTTCGTCTAGTGTTTAACTCAAAATGTAAACTACAGGAGGATTTCTCATGGAGTTATGGGACCATTGAGGATGTAGAAGCTGCTTGGAGAGTTTGTGCGAACAAACATTCTCTTCAATGCGGTTTCTTACCAAGCTTGCATGGTTAATGAAACAATATTCCTCCATTGTCGGTTATCTGTTTCAAGATCTGTGCCCGAATTTTTAGTGTACAGTGAACTGCTACATTCAAAAAGGCCATATATTCATGGAGCAACAAGTGTGAAAGCAAATTGGATTGTTAAATATGGTCAGTTTTTCTGCCCCCCTTCTCAGATCCAAAACTATACTATTGCCCATTGGCTGACCATGTTTTTTGTTGGGTTGATGCTACTTTTTGCCCTCATCTGTGGGAGCTACCATGACATTTTTGGCCCATAGAAGATAATATGAAATGTGTAGCGGTGTTTGCCTATGCATTGCTCGAAGGTCAAGTCCTACCATGCTTAAAAGCTGTGAGGAAATTCATGGCTGCCTCACCAGATAGCATTTTGAAACCAGAGATGCTTAAGCGTGTTGGGAACCTCTTAAATAGATTGAACAGTAGAGGGGGAACTATTGACAGTTGTGCCATGCTGAAGAAGTTGCGCGAGATGAACCCAAGAACTTTTCCAGAAATAATGGATTGGTTTCAATGAGGATTTCATGACCAGTTTGAAGCATTTTGGACAGAGATGCTTTCTGAAATTCATTTAAGCCCCAAGGAACGATTCTCCAAGAAAGTCAAGATCTTTGGGCCAAACAGAGTAGCATTTTTCTGAACTCCTCACAACAGATGGATGCTAAGTCATTGTCTTGAAACAAACGATAATCGGCAAATGGGTGAAAAGGTAAAAATTCATAAAATATTGAGCAACGTAACAATCAGAAGGTGGGGGCTCAAAGCTTGTACATGCATGATGATGAAGTATCAACTTGAGGTGGGTCGCTTATATTTTCAGAACTAAGACTTGCATGCGAAAGTGTTATTGTGTTGTAGGCTATCCTAGGAACAATCCTAATAAAAAATATGCCTTAAAATTCATCATTTATTTGTCTGTATGGGTTCGTTCATATATTGCAACACGGTCTTATTAATAATCATTTTAAAGACATGTATGGTTTTAACTTTTAATAATGCCATAAGTTACAGTTTGTCATTAAAAATAGGTAATGAATTTTAAATAATAAATAACTTTTATATATATATAAATAATCGCACTCAGGTGTGAATGCTTCGCCCAGGAGCGAAATAAGAATGGATTCTGTCTGTCCACGTGTCCAGATCTAATGGATGAGAAACACTGATTTTTTAAAAAAACCGCGGTGGTATTTTCGTAAATAATTGAACATCGAAGTGCAAGTAAAATGTATTACAAGTGCATGTAAAATGTATTATAGGTGCAAGTAAAAATTTACACTGAGTATCAATATTAAGTGCACCTATAGTTATAAGTAGTTGCACATATAGTTCTAAGTAGTTGCACAAATAGTTATAAGTAGTTGCACCTAGGTGCATGAATGTTTGTGGGTGATTTTCAGGGGTATTACTACCCGCTGAACTTAGATCAATGAATGTTAACAAGGCAAAATTACATGCACTTATAGGTGAAAGTAGGCAAAATTATAAATAGTTACACCTATAGTTATAAGTACACTCAGGTGCATGAATGTTTGCGGGAAGTGAATGTTAACAAGGCAAAATTACATGCACTTATAGGTGAAATTATGTGCACTTGTAAGTGATTTTACTTGCACTTCGATGTTCAATTATTTACGAAAATGCCATCGCGTTTTTTTTTAAGCTATTAGATTTGGACACAAGTCGCGTGCTGATTCGTTCGCATATTATCTGCATTTCCACTTCTCCATTAATATATGCATCATCATCACTTAATGTGAAAGACAACTCAACTCGAATGCTACCTGTTCAACATCGGAGAAGGCTTTGAAGATGTACGATAAACAATGTCGGTGGGTAAATTAAATCAATGCTGACAGCCCAGGTAAGACTTTTGAAGGGGTAGCTTTTATATATATATATATATATATATATATATATATGGTCGATACGGATTCACAAATCAAGTATGCAAAAATGTACCACACAGTGATCGAAAATGCGCCGCATACTAAAAATATGCACCACATCTCACCACACAAAAAATACTTTACACCTCACCACACCTAATAGTTTATTGACTTATTTTCACCTACCTACAATACAAACTCAAATCTTCAATGTTTGTGATACAAATGAAACCCCATCATACCGCTTAAAACAAATTTTAAATGAATTTTTTCATTCACTTAAATCAATATTATAAGAGATAAAATTTTATTATTATTAGTTTGTAAAGTAAGGCATACAACCCCTGGTTCATCAATGACATCATATCATGAATGCAATATAATATAATGCTGCCCTTAGGATTGGGGTTCAGCATTTTGAAAGAATATAATATAATGGCACATCTATTTATAGGAATTAAAGCTAACAACCAAATTAAATAATGTACTTCAAAATTGTAGTTGGTATAATGTTTGCATTTAATTCACCCATTCAAGCTACCTCCCACATGGGAATTGAATGAATATAATAAAATATTCTAATTATATTGCAGGGATGTGATGCATTTTTATTTTAGGGCAATTAGAGGAGTGATGATAAGAAAAATCGTTAGGATGTTGGCGATTTCTAAAACATACACTAACAAGTCCTATATATAGTTAATAAAGAGATATTAGCTAGTGAAGCAAAGATTATGTTGTAGAGTTGTAGGTATATATAATATGATTATATGAAGAAGAAATGGAGGTGGTGCATGTATAGGATAGTTACTCTCTCACATTAAATGATGATGGGCATATATTTATTGGAAAGTGGAATGAAATGCATGCCCATGCGTATTGGAAAGTGGAATGAAATGCATGCCCATGCATGTAGGTCTGATTTTTTCAACCAATGTGATCTGTTTTTTTTTTTTTTATTTTTTTAAAGAAAGAATAACATAATTGAGATATTTTTTGTTATTCATTCATGGCCGATCAATTGAAACTTTATGTCGATTGGTTAAACTATTAACTTGGTAATAATAAATTTACGAGTTTAACTCTCAATATGGATGCAAATATATATATATATATATCAATAACATGATGCTAGGCTCGACTCTCTAAATATTATATACACTATTTATTTTAATAGCTTTTATAACATTCTTTAGTTTTAATTAAGATGGTAACTTATTAATATATTGGTATGGTGCATGCTATAAATAAGATGTTATATTGTTATCTCTTTAATTTGTTGAGCTCGGCTAGAAAAAAAAAAAAAAGCAAAAAGAAAAAGACTAAATTTCAAAATACGTAAATTTTTATTATTGTTATTAACATATGTCATGTCATGATAGGACTTTCATATGCTACACATGGTAAGAAACATTCACCAAATTGATTAATTACTTGAAAAGAATTATTGGATATGTGTCAATCTTAAAATTCCAGTAATTTGAAATTCAATATTTCAATTCAATATTATTAATCTATAATTATATTCTTCAACGGCATGCTTGAATAAATATCAATCGAAACAGATAAAGCATCACATAAAAGATTACATGTTTTTTTTTCTTTTTTTTTTCCCCCTTTTTAAAGAAAATAATAGTAATAATAAAAGCTTAGCTTTCTCCCATCACTCCATGTTTACCAATTACCATACTTCACTTTCCATTGTCATAGTTTCCTTTTTTTTTTTTTTAACCTCAATTTTTATATCATTGTTTGATATATATATATATATATATATATATATATATATATATATATATATATATATATATATATATATATATAATGTTAATCTTTTACTTTTGATGCATTTATGCATCATTCGAAGGTTGCACACCATCCTCCTCTCTTAAATCAATAATGGAGACATTTTGCCAAAAAATAATAATAACAATAATTATGACCCCAAAAAAATGAAGTACTAAAATATGGAACGATCAATTGGGGAAAGCTAATTAACGTGTTTTCCTAATCATACTATAAAATTAAAGTTTGCAAGCTACTCTCAATCACCTTGTGCTTAGATAGACACCTTGTCGCTCCCCTCGAGGGAAGGTCACATACAGGATCAAATTTCGGTGATGGGGTATTAACTCTTTTCGTTGCAATACTTAGAGAAAGTATAAAACAGATATTACCTCGGGTAGTTAGGACTGAGGGCCGGAGGTCTCGAGCTTATATGTACTCTAGAGAGAAAATGCTTAAAGTCTATTTTTAAGGTGTTGGATGTGCCTTATATAGTGGGGTGAGGGGACACATGCCGGGAGCTCGGCATGTTAGCCAGTATCCCGCATCTATCAGTCTCACGTGGGGCGGTCCTTGGTAGGTTTACGTGTACGATGATTTCTGACTGTCCATTTATTAGAGTACGATCAGGATCGGGGGTCGATTTTTGAATCAATCCTTGTAATAAAATATACTTAGCGTCTTGGGACTATTTCATAGACTCTATGCCACTTGATCCAGACCTTCTTCCTCGGTGGAGCAGCAAACCTGGCCACCAAACACGTCTCACACAAGTATGACTCATTCCACTACATTTAACTAACTGTTTTGATAACTCAAGTTTCTCACCTTTTTGGGCCTATATCATAGACTCTATGAACTTATTTCCACACTCATCAAGTTTTAATTTAAATTAATTAGATTCATAACCCAAAACTATAAAATTCTATGCACAAGGATTGTCACCTTCTCATGAACATAGGAATAAAACTTTTACAACTATGATATATGAAGAATACTATCTGAAAAGGAATTATGTGTAATTAGTGTTTTAATTTTCAAAGTTAAGGTTGGAAGAGACTGGATTGATGGTTAAAATGGATGGAGTTAGAAAAATATAACTATTTTTTTTTTTTTTAAATGATGAGGGAAACGGGTAGTCATTATTTGAAGTTGTGCATTGAATCTTATCTTGTAATTTTAGCGGACAAAGAACTATAAAAGGTAAACCAACCTAAATTGCTTATAGCTAACCGATTCAAATCTAGAAAATTGTTGGAAATTAAACTTGTAACTTTATGATTACTACTATCTTGGAAATTTCGACAATGAATATATAGTTGCTAAGCGGTTCAAATCAAGAAAGTTAATGGATTAAAAATTAAACTTGTAACTTTATAGTTACTGCTAGAATATTTTGACTGGTGAATATTTACAATTTCTCGAGAGAAAACTAAAAACTCTTTGTATTGACATTTAATTTTCACATATATCCCATTCTCATAAATATGCATGGGTCTTGATGAAAGAGCAAATTCAATAGGAATCCTAATATATATATAAGCATGCTAAGCTACATCCTACACTCTTCATCTACTTCCCAATCCTTCAATTTTATCTCCCATTTAATTAAGTTGTAAGCTTCTCTGTGCTTGCAATTGCTTCAATTCTATATATATTTTCATCAGCCACAGCTACACATTAACACACTATAACTCCCAATATTTTACAAAACCATATCAGAACACCAAGTATTTCAACATGAATTTTGGAGTGAAGGCATTTCTACATCTCTGGGTTCTTCTTGCTTATATATATATGATATCATTATGTGTTGTGCATTCATTCTTACAATCAAGCTACCTATCTCAGCTACCTTAACTTATTCACACATCTCTTCTTAACCTTCTTATCAGATGGAGCAGTATTTGAACATGAATGTTGGAGTGAAGGCCATTTTGCTTCTATGCTTACTACTTACTCCTTCTGCATGGGTCGTTACTGCCCAAGATATGATGGATGGTGAACCCGACCATGGTTCTCGACAAACGAGCTCGTAATTAACCTTAGCTTTTCTTTCTTCCTGGACAATAATATAATTTTTCTTATTAACCCACAAGTGCTAAGAGCGTGGTAACCTAGGTTTCCCCTTAAAACCTTATTTGCTATCTCCCACAAGTGCTAAGAGCGTGGTAGCCTAGGTTTCCCAGGATAAAATGTGCTACGGTCTATCCGGCCTTCTTATTTAGGAGAACTTTGA